CCCCGCCGGGGATGACGCATCGACAGGCACGGGCGCCGGCCCCGCATCTGGCTGCGCTGTTGCTGCGCATTGATGGAGGCGAAGCGATCAGGGCAAATGCAAAGGGGCAGTTGACAAGCTTCAGTCGTCACAGGGTAGCCGTGAGCGGCTGGTGGCAGCCTGAGCATCCGGCCGCCAGAGCGAGCCTGTCACGCGTGTCCCCAGAGCAAATCGCCTCACCAACGGCGTTCCAGACCAGCGCTAGCCCAATACAGGCCAGCGCTGCGCCGTGAAGGATCCGTGACGGCGGTCCCATCGCCAGGCCAGCCACTGCAAAGCGGTCACGGATTTGGCTAGCCACAATTTAGATATTCTGATGTCGATAAAGCCCTATATTATCAGATTTCAACGATAATTCGCGGGTCTGAAGTACCGTGTTTAGTCTTGCGCCGAGGAGGTCAGCATCGCAAACAAACGATCCTTGTTGTGCATGTTCGAATCCGAATGTGCGGCCGTGGTTTCCATGAAGTCTCTGACTTTGGCAATGGCCCAGTCATGGCTGCGGGCACACCGCAGCAACAACTGACGTCCAAGGTTTGCGCAGATCAGCAGGGACAGCAGTGTGCCACACTGTGCAGGCGCCCTATGCCAACCGGAAAAAATTGGTATTGCTTAAATCATCAGCGCAATCAGCGTGTCGGACTTTCCCAATGACAGGGGCTAGGCACGCGCTGGGCGCTAAGCAGGATCTGGCGGCGGTTGGTAGCCCCTGCACCGCACAGCCGTTCACCAGCTGCGCCATTCAGTTGCCGCCGCCAAGCGAGCCAGGCTGATCTGGCCAAGCGCAGCTCACAGGTGCACAAGGGGAGAGTTACATCTGCCGCATTGCCGAGCCGGGCCAGCGCGCACACGCAGGGGCCTGCTCAACGCGCCCTACCGCAGGCACGGGCGTATCATTTGCACAAGTACTGATAAATTGGCACAACACAGTGAAATGAACATGGTGATGTGATGTACAAAAGGCCAAAAAGCTCTCCTGCGTTTTGCTGTGTACAAGAACTGCGAGTTGCTAAAAAGCGCTGCTGGTGCGCCTATATTGCAGGTACAAACGAGGATATGATCGCGTGCATGCAAGTCATGATCATCTCTAATCAGCTAGGCTGTCACGTGCGGCTGCACCCAGCCTTACACAATGGTACTGCAGCTGCAAGCGCCGCTCAGCGGCGCCGCCCGCCGCTGTTGAAGCTCGCGCGCTGCTGTTGATGGCCGCCCCTCTGCCGCTGCGACAGGTGGCTCCTCTGCTCGTAACGCCCCGCCCGCCGCGCAGCCTGCGGGGCCGCCGCGGCGGCGGCGGCGGGGCCGCGACCAAAGATGCGCGGGTGCCGCGCCGCAGCGGCCGCCGCGCCGCCGCCGCCGCCATTGGGGACTGGCGCGAAGGCAAATGCGGCGTCGGCGGCCGCGGCCTGGCCCAGGGCATCATCGAGCTCTCGCATGCGATGGTGCATGGCGACGAGGCTGTCTGCTTCGCCCCTGGCAGTGGCTGCCGCCAGGTCTGCCAGTCCGCCCCCGCGGCCCCGGCTGGCGCGGAGGGCGTCTTGGAATAGGTATGGGGGCATGTCTGGCAGCT